GCTGTGAGCTCAGTAAACATCTTTTCTTTATAAAGTACCCAACTACAGACATGGTTAAAAGCAACAGAAAACTGACTGATACACTAGAAAAAGAGAATAAAGCAGATAGCAAGCACTGAATGTTTACCGCCACAAACTCTACCCCAAGCACCTTAAGTATATTATTTTTCCAAGTTCTCTAGGCAACTCTGGTAGGTGAGAATTACTATCGAGCCTTTTTTACGGATGAACAAACTGAGGCTCTGGTATATTCATGGACTTCCTCCTAGTTACTCAACCAGGGAGTAAAAGAGGTGAATTTAAATTCATATTACTAGAACATCAAAGTCTATGCCTTCATAACGTGCCAAAGGTTTCATTCCTAATGCATTCGCTCCTTTTCCTTCACGGATATGTTAGGTGGGGAATGGGGTCAGAGAAGGAAAGCCTCAAGAAGACCCTGTGCACCAACCCCCCCACCACCATTTTGTGTGTCTCCATTCTTCATTTTCTGATCAAGCCTAGTATTTTTTATAAAGTTTATAAATTATAATAATTCTCATCACTGTAAAGGTGTGTGCCAGAAACCATTTCCTGTCAGCTGAAGAGTGGATTAACGTCACACACACACACAGGCGGCTCGAGTCCCTCTCCCTGTCCCAGTTACAGCACTTCAGGAAAAGATAAACAGGAGGGAATGATTCCTTTTGGAAAAAATAGAAAACTTTCATAAAAAAAATCTGTTCCTAGCTCATCAGGATGGAATTTGTCACTAATCATTTTAAACTATGCCCTTTTATGCTTCTGCTGTGTCTTCTCACTTTCTGAGTAGTTCTTTGATGTAACAAAGACAGTTTCAGACAAGATTTCAGTTCATCTGGAAAAAAAAAAGGTTTAAGACTGGAGGCAAAATGCAGTGTATTTAAAATTTATATACTCGATAATGCCTTTGTTCTGAACTTGAAGATCCTGCAAAACTTCTAAGCTTCTTTGCCTTCCTCTTCTAAGCCCATTTGCTCCTTGGTGCTGATTACCATGCAGGGGTGCCTGTAACTGGTGGCTCCATTGTTTAACTACATGCAGAGTCATGGCTGACCCTTCCTGATCAATTGCCAATCCATACAGGTTTGACTGATAAAAGAGCCAATTAGATTTAAGCAAATTAAGGGACATCACCAATGTCAACCACTTATTACACTGAATGCTGAATTCCATGCATACAAAACACTAATGCACTGAGCACCATTAAGCGTTGAAACCCTAACCCCATTAGTAACTCCATATCTTGAAGAGGCAAAGGCCATAGGAAAGTTTCATATTTATGGATTAACATTTCGATTCTATTTTTATTTTCTTTAATTCCTTCCCTGCAACTCTTGAACCTGTACTATAATGCTATTCAAGAGCAAGGATTAAATATATTCTTCTCTAAGAGTATCTTAGTGCTAAATATAAACATTATGTTATTATAAACAACCTAAAATATAGTAATTGTAGAAATACCAAAATCTGAGTTCGTAAGGATAGGCGAGGATATGCTACATTACTGAAAATAGGAGGTTTTTTCTGCAGTCCCCCACATAATATTTAAAATGAAATTTTAGAATAACAAATGCATGCTGCTTGTGATTTTCCACTGTACATGTATATGCTGAGAAATTGGTAGCATGATCTTGCTTGCTTTAATTTGTATCTTCAAATAATATGGATGTATCATGCTTTTAGTTAGATATTTTCACTATTAGCAAAACATACGTAGCTCCAAGCAAATGGGATGTTTTGTACCTATCCAACAAAGAGATGATGTACCCTGGTAAAACTCCTTACAACATGATCCCTTACTTCTTTTTTCAGATTCCTGCATAAACTCAGAACTATTCATCTGAGCAAAAGCAGCCAATATGGGAAAAAATCAGAGTGTAGAGTTGATGAAATCTGAGAATATTTTTTACCCCCAATGCTCTTGCCCTCCTGGGAGTCAGGGCTGTAATTAAATCTATACCACCATAGCTTTCTTACTTTAGACCACAGAGAATGTTCCATTTTTGCAGCTGACTACAATATAATCTAGCCTAGCTAGACAGGAACCCTGTGCAGAACTCAGCAATGATAAGCTTACAATGTAGAACTAGCAATTAAACTATCTTGACTGGTTTATTTATTCATTCTCTCGCCAATTATTCTTTATGCACCTATGATGTGTCAGATTTTTGTCTAGGCACTGAAGACAAAAATGTGAGTAAGAAATAGCCTCAGCAGCAGGATCTTATAGTCAGCAACAGTGATGGTCAAATGAAACAGGCAACTTCTGTACAATATGATCATACTCCAGGACACAGACCATATTTCAGCCTTGGTTGGCCAGAGATATCTTTCTGATGGACCTAAAAAATAAGTTGGATTTCACCAGACCAGAAGGGTACAAGGGGTTTACCAGACCATGTTTGATAGCAGAAATTGGATAAAGAAAGAAGCTAGTATTTTGTTTTTGCCCAAACCTTCTACTAGTATGTTTTTAATCTATATTGAGAGACAAACAGAGCTAAAGATGTTCTCATTACAAACTTTGCATAATCTAGCATTGAAAGACACTAGGAACTCAACTTCACCATAAAAGGCATCTAACAGTAAAATCAAGAAAGTAGCAATAATGATAACAATCCAAATATAATGAAAAAATAAATAGCTTATGGAAGCTCCTCTGCCCATAAATTGGTTCGCTTCTGTACATCGGTTCATTTGTTATTTATTTCAGTATGAAACACAGTTCACTGGACAGAGGCATGGAAGAGTTCTTTAATAACTCTCAGTACTAATTTAATTCTACTTAAACACACATATTCCAGTGAATGCCACATGCTTTTTGGCATGATTTTTATGTGTAAATCAGGATAATATGTTTTCAGATCATTAAGTAAAAGGAAGCATGAACTAAAACCTATTTAATCAATGAGCTATCACCTTTAAACTGCCACAAGGTCATAAAAAAGATAATTTCAAAGCTATAAGTTTCCTAATTGTAATCAACAACAATATAAGGATGAAAGAAAGTATTTCCTGATGGCTGGTACAAACTTGAGCAAATCTCTGACTATCTTTAAAGAAGTGCTTCCTCTTTTGGTGAAGGACCATTTCCCAAATTCTGCATGTGTGAGTTCAGCGGAGAAACGAGCGCACGGCCTGGAGAGTCGGCCCTGCAGAGGGTCACAGTAAGGACACAGGTGAGTGTGTGCAGTGCAAGGGTGAGATGAGCCGGTTCTCAGCTTCCTTCTGCTCTGTCACATCACCCTGAAACAGGAGTTCATTCCTTCCTGGTTCCACTGTTTGACCCTTAACTAACGGGCATATCCACAGCATGCGTTGAATTACCAAGGGGTGCTTGCTATTTTTAATTGAAAAAATATATATGATGACTCACACCATAACATATATATTTTATATATATATAATATGCAAATTAAGCCATATAGTCTTAAATACATGAATAATTAATTAAAATGGATCTATTTTATGAATTTGGATGAATTAGAAATTATCTAAATCAATGTAAATGCCACAGAATAAATATATAAATCATGAAGTAGTCCATGTATCCTATGAAGAAGGTTTTATTACTGTGCAACTTTAATCTCCACAGAATCACTGATCATTCTTCAATTTCTAAATATGTATAAAATATATTGACTACTAAGGATTAAGAGTCAGTGCAATTTCCTAGCATTTCCAGCAAGTGGACTAGAGTGAATAATGGAGATACAGTTATCTACAGTTTCCCTTTTTGGTTTTGTTTTGTTTTGTTTTGTATTGTAATTTGGTCTTGATTTTTAAATGAACACCTACCTCAATTCAATTCCCTTATTAATTGCTAGTTCATGAAATATAATATTAACCCACATGGATCAGCCCTAAAACATCTCTTTTACGTGTCCTTTTCTCGGACAGTGTGGCTTCTGTTGTCTAGTTTCAAGTGTTTTGGTGAACACAGTCACTGCCTTTTATAAAGTCATGAAGGGAAGAAGAGGGCAGAGTTCTTATGTCACAAAAGGTAAGATGTCCTTTCCTGGGGAAAGAGGTTCCACACACAATGCAAAGTCATCCTTCTCCACCGATGTGGCACTTGCAGCTCTCAAACCCCTGTGCTCAGATCGCTGATGACAACATCAGAACATTCTTCCCTCGCCTACAGCAAGCCAAGGCCCAGAGGTCTGGCTGCAGGGCAGACACTGGGTTTCCTGGGGCCCTTCCCCTGGGGTAGTCTGTGAAGGCGTGCATTCCTGAGCACAGAGGCAACTTCTCAGGTTCAAAGCCCACATGTACCAACCTGAAGGAGAGTTTTCTTCCTAGCAGTTGCTTCCCACAATTAGGACAAGAGTGGAGTTGACTGCAGATAAAAGTAATGGTAATTGTGAGCATGTTCAATGAGCTCGCTCAATTTTAATAGAATAGAATAAAATAAAATAATAAAATATCCAGACTGTACAACATTTCACACAGGAAAGCAACACTAGCAGGGCATAATCAGTATGATGTGGAGTCTCTGGGTGTTTATGCAGAGGTATGAGCAAAGTTTTCCTACTGCACACTCTCCTTTGCATGAAATGGAAAGACTTAAGTAGACATCTAAAATAGCTCTTGAGAGAACAAGAAAGAAGAACCATTGACAGTAGAAAACCAAAGCTGAAATGTCAAGAATATAAACTTTGAATGTAAGAGATGCCTTAAAAAAAGCAGGCTTTTCCAATTTTCTTAACACGCAGAGAGCCAGAGATACATGGGCCTGTGGATACAGCCCATGTATACACACAGCACGAGGTGAAAGCGATTGCACCAAGACAGTAAAAGAACATCAATAAAAGCATCTTAATGAAACCAAACCAAACCACCCAGCAACCAGAAATACAATTGAGCCTTTGAGTTCTAAAAATAGAAATTAAATCCAACAATAAACAAGGTGTTCAATGGAGACTTGGTTCTAGGGCATTCATATAAAATTAAGGAGACAGCATTTTTCATAGACTCACCCCCAGGAGGCATTGCAATGGTCACAGGGTCACTGACCAAGCTGCCTCGGCTGTTGGACGCATTCACTTGTACAGTGTAGTTACTGAAAGGGACCAGTCCAACGATGGGCACCCAAAGGTTGGCTTCTCCACTGCTGTGCATTAGTTTTGTGCCATTCAGAAGGGTGTAATTATTTCCTGCTGGTTAAACAGAAGTTTATTAACATTAGTGTGGATAGATGGGCTATTTCCTGCTATTATTTGCTATTATATGAATATTTTCTTGGATTCCTGAATATACTATATATACTAAGTAGAATTACAATGGTGTTACCCTAAAACGCAAGGTGCATGCTCCATCCATGTGCATAGGACGTTTGTTCTACCACCTTGTGAACAAAAGGTTACCTGTGTTACCATCTCCAACTTGTGTATCACAGTGACCAAAAGAACTTGACTGCTATTCAGTGATAACATAAAGGCATATCACAAATATCGTCTACGTTAGTCAAAATATTGCAGATCTTTAAATTAATCATTTGATGAACTGCTTAATTTCTTTGAGGATTTTTATTAGTCTATGAATATTCTTTGGTGTACAGACAGAAGAAAATAACACATGTCCATCCTATTGGGATGGTTTGTGGATATAAGTAGCACACTTAGATATATGCCTGATAGTTTATAGATCATCAGCTGTGGTATTTTGTCCTCATTGTACATGACAGAGGTAGGGCTTCTTTTCACTTAATGCTCCTTTAAGTTAGATTTGATCAGAATATTTTAAAAAGCAGCTGGGTTTTGGAGGTAAATGTATTCTCTTTGATGTAAAGATCTGTTATGGGGGTGCATGGGAAATGCAAAGGTGCCTGGCTTTTTAAATAATCACTTCCAATACATCCTGACTACACCCCACTGCCTGGTCTTTTCTCAGGGGCCGTAAGCCCCTTCCCAAGTCTCAGCGCTACTAGAACACAGGCAGACATCCCTGCCCAGTCACCGCCTCACTCCCATCACAACACCCATCTCCATTCAAAGTTAAAAGGAACTAGAAATTTGGGTCATAATAAGAAAAGGATTCCCATTAAAAACTGTTACATTCATTGCATTTTCTACTTTAATACTTTCCTGAATAATTTACATGAGGTAACCTTTTCAAAATATTGCTTAACTTTAGTTAAATATTAGAATGCATTGTAATTATTCTGTAAAAACAGAAAAAATGACCATCAAGAATATCAAAATCAACTTCAAGTAGACTTTCTTCCTTTACCAAACACTTTTTATTGTGTGAACGTTTCTTCTTTCCTACAAATTCTGCAGATACAGGAAAATGAATAGAAAAACATGACATACCAGACTTCAAGGGAAAAAACAAGCATATTCTGAGATCTCCAAACACTGATATAATCTTTATTGACTAAATGACTAAAAGTAAAAGATGACCACATACTAAAAGTGATCTTGCCCTGTACAGTAGAGAAATTTTAATGGTTGCAATATTTACAAAATGCATTTTGACACGGATTAGTATATAGTAAGAAGGAAGGGACATAAGTTTGGTGGTTGGAGAGCTGCATTTGGACCTGTCTTTGTATTTTTCAGAATGCATCTCTTGGTAAGTTAGTCAGTATTTCAGAACCTCTAGTTCTTCAACTGTGAACTGGAAGTAAAAATCAAAATGCAGTGTTATTGTGAGTTAAGTGAGATAATTTCCTTACCTAGCATACTTTCTTGGGTTCCTTCATATACTAAATAGAAATATAGCAGCATCACCCTAAGAGACAACATATATATTCCACCAACACACATATTCTCATTTTATTACTTTGTCAACAAAATGTTATGTGGGTTGGCATTAATCACTCAATCATCACAGTGATCAAAATAACTGGGAACCATGCCATCATTTTTGTTGTGACCCATACAAGTGATACGTTCCAGAAAAACATTTAGAATTAGTAACTGCTTAGGAAGTACTCACCCTGCATTTTATTTTCTCTATAGCAATTACCTACTCTCAAATTCTTCACCTCCCCAAACTACTATATTATTAATCAAAATTCTGTTTTTTAAATTAGCAAAACAACACTAATGTCATCTACTACCATCATGCCATTGTCCCATCAGATTATATTTCAAACTCTGAAATCAGTGAAGTTCAAATAATGCAGAAGTATGCCTGCTAGCTAGTTATGACATGACCATTTTCATGAAGTGTAGGTAAAGCAGACAGAAATTTAAAAATATACAATATATTGGGATAGAGGAAGTAGCTAAAATTTTTATTGCTGCAAATACTCAGGAATGTATTTTCCATGATCGGAAACAAATTTCTAGTAGCATCAAATAATTTATTAGTGTAGACAAAATTGGCAAATCCAAAGAAGTGCTTTATTTTAAAGGAAATAAATGGTACTTACGGGTTAGAAGATGGGAATAATAACTTTTATTGAGTTACAGTAAAGACAGATAAGAAGTATGCATAGCTTAGTGATTTCCAGGTCCTAAAATGGAATAGTTAATGTACTCCTATATACACAAACTCATATCGGCAAGAAGTTCTGAAGTCTGAGGTAGAGCTTTGTAGGATCTACGTGACTAGTGAATTTGATTCAACATTTTTGAACTCCAGCTATATGAAAGGAGCATTTTGCTTATGTAGTGAGAAGATTTTCAATGTGTGTGAAACAGTTCTGCACTGAAAAAATCTGATCACAATTATTTTTCAAAAAACTAAAATTAGAAATGCCATTCAACCTAGCTATTTCCCTAGGTATCTTCCCAAAAGAGTTAAAGACATCCTATTAAGTAATCCATGAGTACCAATGTTTATAGCAGCATAAGTCAAATTAACTAAATCTTGGAAGCAGACTGTGTGTTCATCAACAATTAAATGGATAAAGAAAATGTAGCATTTATACACAATGGAGTACTACTCTACCATAAGGAAGGATAAATTTGAGTTGTTTGTAGGAAAATGGATGCACCTTGAGACTATAGTGTTAAGTAAGTGTGTGGGGATATAGCTCAGTGGTACAGCAAGCTACCTGGCAAGTGCGAGGTCATGAGTTCGATTCCCCGTACCACACACAAAAGAATAATATTAAGTGAAATAAATTAGCCACATAAGTTTAAATATCTAATAACTTCTTCCATGAGAAAATGTAAGAAAACATAAGTAAATAATTTAAAGAGCTAAAGAAAGGGAAGATGGCAGGAAATAGGGAGATAGATCTCTGGTAAATGGAAAGCGTATTGTGATAAAGAGAGGGGAAAGGCAGCAATGACAGTTAAGATGTGCTGTGTCCCTATGCCCCGCACTGGACGTAATCCATATGCACTGCAAATGTACTCATAAAAGTAAAAAACAATTAACTGTGAGCCTTTTCTCGCCATTGTCTGAGAACAGATATATGCTCGGTGTCAGAGGACCTTCTCCAGTGCTCCCCATACCTTGCTCTTTGGAAGCTTTTTCAGCTGCAGCTGCAACAACTGCTGGCATTGTTATGAGCTTGGTTGTAAAATTTTGAAAAGGTCAGCTTACTAGCAGAGAGCCAGCAGGTGCTCCATCGCCTGGGCCAGAGCATAACTGAGCACATCTTACAAAGATTCAAAATCGCAAATCAATAGCAAGAATTCTACACTGAAGCCATAAGAACTTCAGTTTACAAATTTCTAGCCAGCTACCAATATAAGGCCAATGAGTAAGAACCTATTTCTATAGTATCAAAGAAGGGTTTTTTTTTTTTTACCCTGCATTTTGTTTATTTATTTTTGAAGCAAAATTTGAGATGCAAAACAAATACAACTGGCTGCTCTGGAAATGGCATGACGGGGGAACTATATTAAGTACCACTTTATTCTAAGTTTCCCAGATAACAAAATTAATACATGTGATTATACAATTAGTTGTAACATTAAGTTCTAGTTACAGAACAATGATTACTCAGTAATTATAAGAAGTGTATAATTACTCAATAATTATGAGAAGTATGCAATTATATAACCATTTTGCTCAGCTCAAAAAAGAACATGTGTATCTGCACGGGCTACACAGTCGAGTGAGTCTAAGTTCTCACCTCCGCTGAGAAACAGCTCAATTCAGAGACAGAGTAAAATGACAGTTTCAGCTCTCAACAGAGCTCAAAAGCCCCCAGATTCAAAAGCAAGAGGAGGGGCCATGGATTGTTTCTCTCCCCCACCTCACCCACCCCCTTTCTCCCTTTGCCCTGCTCCAATATGAGCTCCTAGACCCTGGAGATGGATTCTTACATGCAAATCCTCAGGGTGCCCTTCTTGACCGGGTTGTGCTTTACCAATTTTTACTGCCTAAGTTTTGTTTCCAATGAACTGGAAAATGCTCAGTCTCACAAATCCAGCTAGAAAATGTGGGATTGATAAACATTTCCCATCACAGGCGGCCATTCCTCCTGGTCACCCTCTGCTCCCTCCCTGTCTGTGAGTATAAGTGGACATGTAGGTCTACTTCAGGCTCTGTGTTCTGAAACTGCAGCTCCTCTGACCCCTGCACCCCCAGGTGCTGGGATGTTTAGTTAACTCTCTGCATCCATGCCTTGGCTTAGTCTGAGCCGGCAGGGGTCAGCCCCAGGACGGCGCTAAACCCTTTGTGGAAGTGGGTTATCTCTACAAACATTCCGGGGTGCACTGAAGCAGGGTCACCAGGGACAGTCTGCTAAGCAGCACCCTGCCTGAGTTGACCACAGACCTTCTCAATGAGAACATTAGAAGGCAGAACCCCACAGTCGGTGTGTGAGCTTTCTTCCTCACCATAAACATTGAGAACTACTCATGCAGTTTTCCTGGTCTTAAAATAATGAACAGAATTCATTTCTTCTATTTTTAAAAGTAACTAGATCATATCTGGCACACTGGCTGGTGAAGTCTGTGCAGTCCAGAAATGGGTTGTAAAATGTTTGCTCTATTAGTGAAATAATGCATCCAAAGAGAGTAAAACCTGACATTTAAATTGGATCTGTCTCTACAAACTACAGAATCTAACAGAGCTGTTCCAGGAGAAATTTTAAAATATTCACAAAAACAATTTTCAAAATGACGAATCCCTGTTGCACATCTGAGAACAGGAGCTTCAGGATTTCTGAGTTAGGTGTCTTCTTTCCGTCTCCTCACCACCAGCCTGCTCCTATCAGTCGGGGTGTGGGGAGAGGAAGAGTGCA